CTTCTTTTACCTATTCTGACATCCGACTCGAAATTCTTTCTAACTGAGTTTTTACTGTGCGTATTGCTATTTGCATTGGCTAGAGGTTGAGGAGGAGGGTTGAGATCTTACAAAACACGTTGACCCCGCCGCATATTTGCGCCTGTCCCAAGTTAGGAGTCTACGTTTTTTGCTAGTCTTGAATTTTTTTTTTTTAATTTGTTCATCTATATGTTTCGGAGTTTAATGTGACGCCCTTTTTCACTGAACTAGGACACATTTTTGTTTAATGGGCAAGCTTGCTTCCCAGTGCTGTATTTTCTCACTTTGGGGAAGTCCCATAGGTGGCCTTGGGCTGCTTTCTGCTCTTTGGTCGGGTTGTGGACTCTTTGACGTATACGCCGTTTCCATTCTAAATTTACTTGGAAATAACGATAGAGTTTAGCAATGAAAGGTAGATATATAAAATACTATCTATTTTACCTGATCCATCTGTCTGTTTCTGTTCTTTTTCTATTTCTACATCATCGGTATCAATCTTATCATCCTTAGCTTCCTCATCATGAACATCCCTATGATCACTGCTATCTTCGTCATCATCATCATCCTCACTGAGTTCGTGTTTAGTGTTTCCTTGGTAATGCATGTATTGACTATCTTCATCCTCATCTGATGTTGTGTCAGCCCTCTGTGTGCTGTCTTTTTGCCTGCTGCTCTCACCTTTAGTATTTGCTGTTTAAAAACATCAGCAATATTATCAAACACGAAAACAGCTTCGATATCAACAACATAAGCAATTAACAAATTATATTATTAATTTCTATAATAACAGTGAACTTCTGAGCAATAGCCTGTTGAGTTGTAGATTCTCTATACAACTTTATATCGACATTTTTATCACAGGTCTATTTCTCAGCGAAACGTTAAAAAAGTAATACAGTATATAGACAACATAAGGGCCTTGGATGGCATTATTTCTAATTAACTCCATTGTCCAATATTTGTAATATATAAAGTTGATTTCTTTGATTCGTCTTTTTTATGTCATGTCCGCTATCAAATTGAAACTTGTTATTTTAGTAGTATAGATGGATGTGGCATATGTTTTTTTTCTTATGTAACATACATACCTTTAGGTTTAAGCTTTGACTTCGATGAACTGGGTTGAGATGGTGTTCTTCTTGGGGTAAACCATTTCTCGCCTTTAACAATCATAGTGTCTGACAAAAAATAATGATGATTTATTTACCTATTTTTTCTTACCATATATTGCACTCACGTAAAAATCCGCCAACGATTGTGATCCTTGTGCGACATTTCCATTCATATTGGATCGTGTTTACAAACTTATTTGTTTCATTGTTCATTTTTGGTCGTATTTTAAAAAAAACTCTAAGGAACAAATAAATAACGGCTAGTTATATCAAGACCAACACTCCTGTACAGTTTTTCTTTTTTTTCTGTCTTGAGATGGTTCTGTATGGCAATTCCAAGGCATTTTGTAACAGTACAATTGTTTTTAAATGTCTTAAATTAAACATGTTTTGCCACGATTCCTTCAACAAAATCATGTGTTATATGTTTTATCAAATGTTTTGTAATTCTAAAGTCATCATTACCTTAATTTCTCTTTAGTAAGCTTGAAAATCTGTAGTAATAGTAAGTATAAGTAGTTAATGGGGAAAATATGAGATTACAAACCTTCCTTTACAGATTTTTTTTTCTATATGTTTCGGAGTTTAATGTGACGCCCTTTTTCACTGAACTAGGACACATTTTTGTTTAATGGGACAGCTTGCCTCCTAGTGCTGTATTTTCTCGCATTGGGGAAGTCCACTAGTTGGCCTTGGGCTGTTACTGCTCTTTGGTCGGGTTGTTGACTCATTGACGCATACGCCGTTTCCATTCTCAATTTGCTTAGAAATAACGATAGAGTTTAGCAATGAAAGGTAGATAAATATAATACTATCTATTTTACCTGATCCATCTGTCTGTTTCTGTTCTTTTTCTATTTCTACATCATCGTTATCAATCCTATCATCCTTAGCTTCATCATCATGAACATCCCTATGATCACTGCTATCTTCGTCATCATCATCATCCTCACTGTGTTCGTGTTTAGTGTTTCCTTGGTAATGCATATATTGACTATCTTCATCCTCATCTGATGTTGTGTCAGCCCTCTGTGTGCTGTCTTTTTGCCCGCTGCTCTCACTTTTAGTATTTGCTGTTTAAAAACATAAGCAATATTATCAAACACAAAAACAGCTTTGATATCAACAACATAAGCAATTAACAAATTATATTATATTGTTAATTTCTAACAACAGTGAACTTCTGAGCAATAGCCTGTTGAGTTGTGGATTCTCTATACAACTTGATATCGACATTTTTATCACAGATCTATTTCCCAACAAAACGGTAAGAAATGAATACAGTTGTGACTGTGTTTAGCGATACAAAAAGACAAACATTTACCGTCTATAAGATCTGTAATCATTGCTCTCAATTCCATGTTCCCTTTCGTTACTTCTGCTTTCAATTCCATGTTCCCTTTCGTTACTTCTGCTTTCAATTTATCCGCCTTAAAGCTGTTAAACAATGCTTTCAGTTCTATGTTCCCATTTCTTATTTCCGCCTTTAATTCATCTGTCTGAAAGTAATAAAACTGTGTTTTATTTTGTTATTTCATCTTATTTTGATTTGAATGATATGTATATTGTACAAATGGTAATGTGCATTTCATAATTAAAATACAAAACTGGAAATAAAGTTGCATACCTACATTAAAAGATTAAAAAGTAAAATCACAAAAATACTGAACTCCGAGGAAAATTCAAAAAGGAAAGTCCCCAATCAAATTAATTTGTTTTTTAAGAAAAACTTTCAGCAGAACGGACAGACCCAAGTGTCAAGCAATACAGATTATAATTTAGTACAGAAAGTAGCCGAAGTGAACACATTACTGAATTAAATTTCTGTCCAATCATTATAGGTCAAATATTTCTAAAAAACACGCTAAGATCGATTATTTTGTTATATAATCAGTACCTATTTTTTTTATTTCTCCTTTCAGTTTATCTGCCTTTAAATGATCCAACTGTCTTATATTTTGTCATTTTATCTTATATTCTATTACCATGATTAAATTATAGTTTGCATTTGCGTCCACAATATCAAATGAGTACATACTACTGAATAACTCTTATCATTTTTACAGATTTATTCTCTCCTTCGACTTACCATTTGAGTCATTTGTATTTTCATCCAGTTATCCATTTCTGGAAAAAAAAACAAGGAATATAAGTGTAAAAAATAATGTCATAGATACGGTTATTTGAACATGAAGTATTTAATACATGTCATAGTTAAAATTCAACTGTAAAATTGGATTTGTAGTCCTGCTAATTATTGATAAAGAAAACATATGTATACAAGTCTACTAAATCTGATAGGCGGACAAACAGACAGGTATGATATTTGCAAATCATCTAATTTTGCTAGAGGTTTTGCTAATTGAAAGCTCCAAATCGTTTTGGCGAGAGAAAACAATAAGAGTCCAAATTCTGATTTTCTTAAGATCTTCTGCATATGCATTGTTACAGTGCATTTAGTAAATCACATGCGTTGAAAATGTCTTTTAGAAAAAAGGCAATGAATATTTGATGTTTGCATAGTCAACAACTATTTTTATAAAAAAAGAATACATTCCGCTTTTTCAATATAGGGTACAAAATGTCTACATCACAATGAACACTTCTTTTATAGCATTTTGTTTTGTGTTTCCCAAAAGAAATAAAGCATTAATTCAAACATTCATTGTTTAAGTGTTCAATGACAACAATGGTAGTCATACAAGTAGTAAAACAGTAGTAGATCATTTTATTTTATACCACTAATTTTTAAGTATAAAGTACGCGTAAAGAAAACAAATACCGACCGTACGAGGGCTTGACAGCCAGTCAGTGTCGTACACTCATCTTCAACTGACAGTTGAAGCGATAATATTTACATAAGAAGGAATGTGTAGCAACAAGAGAAAGAAGGAACAATTTGTAATCAGATTCTTCATTTCTTAATTGTTCAATAAAATGGTAGTCATACGAGGAGTAAATATTAACTAACCTGATATTGTATAAGACTTCGTGCCGATTGTATATCTCCTTCGTGCTATAGTTTTAAACGATGGACCTTCCTCCTTCCATTTATGACGTTTTACATTATTTTTTTAAGAATATATAAATGAATTTCGACGAAATATACCATAAAGTATCACAGTACAGTTAATATTAGGTATATATTTTGCATATACTAGTATTTTCTTGTTTAAAATCGTTATGGAACCGCTGTAAATTTCTTTTATAGCAGAACGTTGGTGTTTTACAAAAAAAAAGAAAAAAAAAAGACATGTATTTAGATTCTTCATTTCTTAGATGTTCAATAAAATGGTAGTCACACGAGTAGTAAATATTAACTAACCTGATATTGTATAAGACTTCGTGCCGATTGTATATCCCTCTTCGTGCTATAGTTTTAAATGATAGACCTTCCTCCTTCCATTGATGACGTTTTACATTCTTCCTCCTTCCTTTTCTGACGTAAAGGGAAGGAAGAAGGAAGATGTCAAAGGTCAAAAGGAAGGAGGATGGTGTTTGGTAACAAGAGGAAGGATGAGGAAGAATCAAGGCATGCGATAACAAGCGGAAGCTAAAATACACCTTCCTCCTTCCTTTTTCTTTTAAAACACACCTTCCTCCTTCCTTTTCCTATAACACACCTTCATCCTTCCTTTTTCTTTTAAAACACACCTTCCTCCTTCCTTTTTCCTTCTTCGTCTTGTTACCACATACCTTCCTCCTTCCTCTTATCACAACACATATTCCTCCTTCCGCTTCTCGCCGCAGACCTTCCGCCTTCCTCTTGGTGCGACACACCTTCATCCTTACTCTTGATAGAATACATTCCTCCTTCCTTCCTTCCCTTTACGTCAGAAAGGAAGGAGGAAGAATGTCAAACGTCATAAATGGAAGGAGGAAGGTCGATCATTTAAAACGATAGAAAGAAGGAGGAAGATCAATCGGTACGAAGTCTTATTGATATCAGGTCAGTAAATTTTTACTACTCTTATGACTACCATTGTTTTCATTGAACTCTTTAATAATATATTATTTGAATTAATGTTTTATTACCTTTAAAAAATGCCTCACGACAAAACTGTTTTAAATTTGAAAATTTTACATATTTTACATAAAGCATTTTTTTGATCTGATATGCATCAACTTCCTGTTAGCCGATATTTTAAAATTCAACCACTGTATCCACAAGGAAAATTTTACATAAATATTTTCTTGGTTCCCTTGAAAACGAATGATTTTATATTTGGTTTGGTGTTTGGTGATTTTGAGTTGTAGGTCATGAAAGGAAATTCTTTGTCAATATTTTATTGACTTCTTTGTAAGGACATTGTTTACGAATTGCTTTAGAACAAATTATGCAGTGATGCACGTCCATACCCTGTTTTGGTATTGTTGTCACATGTTCTCAAAAATAAATACACTACCAGGAATTTACATAGCGTTTACATGTACTTTTAATGCCACTAAATATACAGTACTGGTAAAACATATCATCAATCAGTACATGTATTACCTATAGCTTTTCAGTACAAATAATTATGTGCATATTTTCAGTAATGCTATAGTTTTAAACGATGGACCTTCCTCCTTCCATTTATGACGTTTTACATTATTTTTTTAAGAATATATAAATGAATTTCGACGAAATATACCATAAAGTATCACAGTACAGTTAATATTAGGTATATATTTTGCATATACTAGTATTTTCTTGTTTAAAATCGTTATGGAACCGCTGTAAATTTCTTTTATAGCAGAACGTTGGTGTTTTACAAAAAAAAAAAAGAAAAAAAAAGACATGTATTTAGATTCTTCATTTCTTAGATGTTCAATAAAATGGTAGTCACACGAGTAGTAAATATTAACTAACCTGATATTGTATAAGACTTCGTGCCGATTGTATATCCCTCTTCGTGCTATAGTTTTAAACGATAGACCTTCCTCCTTCCATTGATGACGTTTTACATTCTTCCTCCTTCCTTTTCTGACGTAAAGGGAAGGAAGAAGGAAGATGTCAAAGGTCAAAAGGAAGGAGGATGGTGTTTGGTAACAAGAGGAAGGATGAGGAAGAATCAAGGCATGCGGTAACAAGCGGAAGCTAAAATACACCTTCCTCCTTCCTTTTTCTTTTAAAACACACCTTCCTCCTTCCTTTTCCTATAACACACCTTCATCCTTCCTTTTTCTTTTAAAACACACCTTCCTCCTTCCTTTTTCCTTCTTCGTCTTGTTACCACATACCTTCCTCCTTCCTCTTATCACAACACATATTCCTCCTTCCGCTTCTCGCCGCAGACCTTCCGCCTTCCTCTTGGTGCGACACACCTTCATCCTTACTCTTGATAGAATACATTCCTCCTTCCTTCCTTCCCTTTACGTCAAAAAGGAAGGAGGAAGAATGTCAAACGTCATAAATGGAAGGAGGAAGGTCGATCATTTAAAACGATAGAAAGAAGGAGGAAGATCAATCGGTACGAAGTCTTATTGATATCAGGTCAGTAAATTTTTACTACTCTTATGACTACCATTGTTTTCATTGAACTCTTTAATAATAGATTATTTGAATTAATGTTTTATTACCTTTAAAAAATGCCTCACGACAAAACTGTTTTAAATTTGAAAATTTTACATATTTTACATGAAGCATTTTTTTGATCTGATATGCATGAACTTCCTGTTAGCCGATATTTTAAAATTCAACCACTGTATCCACAAGGAAAATTTTACATAAATATTTTCTTGGTTCCCTTGAAAACGAATGATTTTATATTTGGTTTGGTGTTTGGTGATTTTGAGTTGTAGGTCATGAAAGGAAATTCTTTGTCAATATTTTATTGACTTCTTTGTAAGGACATTGTTTACGAATTGCTTTAGAACAAATTATGCAGTGATGCACGTCCATACCCTGTTTTGGTATTGTTGTCACATGTTCTCAAAAATAAATACACTACCAGGAATTTACATAGCGTTTACATGTACTTTTAATGCCACTTAATATACAGTACTGGTAAAACATATCATCAATCAGTACATGTATTACCTATAGCTTTTCAGTACAAATAATTATGTGCATATTTTCAGTAATGTTTGGAAAAAGTTGTTTTTCATTACTGAAAATTTCAGTCATTTTGCTGTACTGAAAATTTCAGTCATTTCTAAATATTAGAAATTTCACTCATTTATCAATACTGAAATTGTTAGTCATTTTTCATTATTGAAAATTTCTCTCATGTTCAGTACTAACGTTTTTTATCATTTTTCAGTACTAAAATTGTTTTGTCATTTTTCAGTACTTCCATAAATTACTATCAAGAATAAGTCCAAAGTATGTAAAAAAGTGTAAAACACTTTATCGTGACGCTATCCGTAAATCTTGCGTCCGGAGGTGTAGATTATGATGACGAGAAGGACGCTGACAGAAGTTTGACAACTATAATTTTTGTTTTTGATTTTGACAAACATATTCCAGGACATATGAATCAATGAAATTAAACAGGCAAAGCACACAAATGTCATACAAGTGATAGGTTTAGCTAGCTATAAAACCAGGTTCAATCCACCATTTTCTACATAAGAAAATGCCTGTACCAAGTCAGGAATATGACAGTTGTTATCCATTCGTTTGATGTGTTTGTTTTTTTGATTTTGCCATTTGATTGGGGACTTTCCTTTTTGAATTTTCCTCGGAGTTCAGTATTTTTGTGATTTTACTTTTTATTGTCGTTTTAATCTTGTTGACGACAACTTCAAAATCTACACATTGTCATGAAAACTACGAACCGAGAACTGTCAACAGATTAAGGAAACTGCAAATTTTAAGTAAAGAATTACGACTTAAAACAAGGAAGTTTACATTACATGGTGATCATGAATTTGAATATGGTGTACAAACTAAAGGCATTTTTAGTTTACTACATACCGTTTCACTTAAACAAATATTGGTGGAGTGTCTTCAAATATTTATTTTTTTGTAAACCTAATCGTATCCTAAATATTCAATTAAACTACTCTTTCTTTTTTCAGAACATGGAATCTTGGATTAAAGCAAAATTTGAAGAGTTGGTAGGTATATTTATATATTACTGGATCTGTTGATACTTATTACATAGACTTTCCTATATGACTTGAGTTACACTGTTATTAATTAAAGTGAATATTATGTGGCTATTCACGTCAATTTAATAGTTCAGTGTAGGATTAGTATTCCAATATGACTTGTTGTTTTAATTGTAACTAATTCTATTTGATTTCTTTCAGGGCCAAGATCTGAAGAATGAAATAAGAGAACAACATATAGGTAGAATTGTTTGCATTATTGTAACATATGCTTGTTCTGGAGAAAATCCCATTTATCTGGACAAAACGATCTGCAATTGGTTTCTATAGGGACGATTTCGATGTTTCATTACTTTATTGACTACCTTCACAATATAAAAACTACACCACAAGAAAGCAGATTGCGCAAAATTCCCTATATTTTATGTGTCTGTCAACATTGCCATGTTTGTGCACTGAATATACAAGGTCCTTTTTATAACCAAAATATGCCAAAGGAAAAAATAAAGGCCCTACAACGAAGATAGTACCACTTACGTAGTAAGTTCAGTCTTTAAAACTAAAAGTAAGATAATTAAACTTGTTTCAAATCTTAATATTACTAGAACTTCATATAACAGCTTTAACGCGATTTATGATATGATCTGTTCATCCATCCACCTGTTTACATATAGTATAATGTGGAAAAGAATATGATTTTAATATTTCTGATCGCAGAAATCATTTCTAAAGTCGTATTCAGATTTGTTGTCAAAACTTCTTGTGGTGTCATACAGACCATACGAAAAGAGCTGATATTTCGGTATTAATATTAAGAAAGACAGTTGTATGATGTTATTAATTTTGGCGGCATTTTCAAAAAATGAAGTTACTTGTGTCATTTATCTGATTGAGTCGTGTAAAATATTGAGTGTTGCATGGTCACGTATATAATCGCATTTTTGATTCATCTTGTTACATGAAATGGGTAAAAACCTAAGAGTACTAGTAAAACCTTTCACATTTCTTTCAGCAACAGTTACAGACCTGAAAATGTTTGTTGAAAGTAAGTTAATTAATATTTAATAATTCTAGAACCAGAGTAATATTGTGTGACATTTATGTGAGTTTTAAAAATTCTTTTTCTTGCCTTTTATTCAAAACAACATATACATATAATGTATGTACCAAGAGCTTGAAAAAATAATGACAACAATATAAAGAAATCTAAATGAGAAAGGTCATAATACTTTCAATGTTATATGTCTATGAATTGATCGCCACTGAGTAGAATATTATGTTAAATGAATGAAGTAAAACAATACGATTCTACAATACTTCGGGACACTGAACTAAAACGATCTAATTTATACTGTCATACAAGTGAGAGGTTTAGCTAGCTTTAAAACCAGGTTAAATCCACCATTTTCTACATAAGAAAATGCCTGTACTAAGTCAGGATTTAAACTTGCTTATTTTAGGAAAACTAACCAAACAGAAGGAAGCAAAAGAAAGAGGTAAACACTGTTTTTAATAATCTGTGGTCGTATCTGTTTTCAAATCAAGACTTATATATGTTTCTCTCAATTGAAAAAAATTCTACGTAAATATTGATGATTAAGAAAAATATTTTTAACTAGTACAAGATCGATCTTACCAGAGGAATAATCCAACTCCTCTGTTATAGATGTATATATTTGTTATCCCTAAAGACATCTTGAGTCATCTTTTGTATCAATGCATAAATGCAAAGAAGAAAAGGAATATGTCAAGAACTGTTAATAAATTGTTTCCAAAACCAATTTATTAGCATCAGATTCATTGTGCTACAAGTTCATAGTTTCTTTGTACAATTACCAGAAGTTTTGAAACACAATTTAGCATATTTATACACTCCTTTTCTTTTTTCTTCAGAAAATAAAGAGGAGGAGATTTCAGGAAAGAAATTTAAAACAAAATGTAAAATAGCTAATGTATCTTTTTTCATACAACAACTAATTTTATAGAGAAATAATATCTGCAAATAAAGGAGTATGTCCGATAACTGTTTTTTTGGGCTTAATTTAAAAAAAAAGGAATATAAGTATGATACTGGTGTTAACGAAAAGGCCAAATAATTGTCTTTAATATATCCGAAAGTTAATTGACATTATTCTGTACGTGCTGCAGTCTGTAACGTTATGAAACGTTTTAAGTATTCAAACATGCTCATTTGATATCACTTTTTGTTTTCCTCTTGTAGTTGATGTGTTTCTTTCTGTTTTAGTTTGTTACCCGGATTTGTTTTCACTTAATGGAATTATGACTCTTGAACAGCTGTATTCTTCTGTTGCATTTAATTTGAACAGTTTTATAAGGTTTTTACCTGCAACAGAGTTACGCACACTTATGTTCATTCAAAAGATTTTAAAATCTCACGTGACTAATTACATTGCAAACAATGAATGAAATTTAAAAATTTGAATAATGATCATGCATATAAAAACATTCTTTTTTAAGTAGTTGACATTCAAAGCGGTTACCTGTCCTTGTACTTTCAAATGGCAAATTTTCATTTTTATTTCCGTACTTTGTCTTTCATATTACTGCTATTATTTATTCTTTCGTATTGAACTGTAACAATTAATGTCGGGAACAAACAGTATACTAAATGCAAAAATATTCATTGATAGATCAAGGAGAGATTTCAGCATACGATAGTGAAGGTAAGGACTCTTAATTGGTCAACAGTTCAAGTACCAAGTTATGTTTCCATTTTATCATCAATGACATCAGTGATGTTTTGAATATAAAGTTTTACCAAGTTGAAAAGTAAAAAGAAAAGCACTCTCATGTCAAATAATTGCGAAATATTGTGTAGATATCAGAATTGTCCAGTCATTTTAACACATAAATCAATCACTGATGATCAAGAAATAGAGTTGAAAAACTACATAACCTAATCAGAGAAAGAATCTAACTCCTTTGGTATAGATGTATATATGTGTTATCACAACATATATCTGATTGATCTTTTGTATAAATGCTTAATGGTAAAAAATAAAGGGAATCTGTCGAGAACTGTTAATACATTGTTTTAAGTACCAATTCATTTACATCAGATGAAAGTGTACCAAGAGTTTTATGGTTTCATTGTACAAATTGCCCGAAGTTTTTGAACATAATGGTTGAGCATGCTGCAGTCTGTAACGTCATGAATTCTTAAACGTATTCAAACATGCTCATTTCATAGCATTGTTTGTTCTCCTTTTGTAGTTGATGTGTTTCCCTCGGTTTAAGTTGGTTACCCAGATTCTTTTTCACTGAATCGAAATATGACTAGTAAACAGCGGTATACCACTGTTGTCTTTATTTTGTACATTTTTTTATAGGTTTTAACGTGTAACAGTGTTATGCACGATTATGTACATTCAATATATTTTCAAACATGACGTGACTAATAAGAATTCACAACCTGTAGGAAAATAAAGGTTTACATTTATGACGTCTTAATGACCTATATCAAAATATCCAATATGATTGGAAAAAGTTGACAAACCAATTTCAAATAAATCTTCGAAATCTAACATGTTGTGTAGTTCATACTGGTGGCCTGACAGTACCTCCTCCTTTCAGAAAGGATCTTACAAATTTTTAATAGTGTACATTGCAAACATATGATTTTTACAGTGAGCTCAACGAAACTTTCAATTTTGTAAGAGTTGACATTCGAGGAGAATGACTTTTCTGGTACCTTCAAATGGCATTTTTGTTCCATTTGTTATTCCGTACTTTAGGCTTTCATATAACTACTGTAATTAATTCTGTCGTATTTAACTGTAAAAGTTTCATGTCATAAACAATCAATATAGTAAATGCAAAATTATTCATTGGTAGATGGAGAAAAGAAGACATCAGATAATATAGATGGTAAGGATTCTTAATTGGTCAATAGTTCAAGTATTTAGTTATGCTTCCATTTTATCATCATTGGCATCGGTGATGTTTTGATTTTTAACTTTTACCAAGTTGGAAAGTAAAATGACAAGCACGCCAATGTGTTAAATAATTGCGAAATCAGAGAAAGAATTCAACTCATTTGTAATAGACATCTGATTCATCTTTTGTATCAATGCTTAACGGCAAAGAATAAGGGAAATCTGTCGTGAACTGTTAATACATGTCCGAAGTTTTTGAACATAATGGTTGAGCAATAATACAATTTTCTTGTTCTTCAGAAAATGAAGAGCCGGAGTTGCCAGGTAAGAAATGTTAACCAAAATGCGAGGTAGTAAATGTATCTTCATTTACAATTTTCTAATATTTAGATGAAGAATAATATGAAGAATAATACTTGCGACTAAAGGAGTATGTCCGATAAGGGTGGCTTTGGACATAGCCAAAATGGATAATTATGATATTAGTCATGAAAGTAAAAGCAAAAATTATTGCCTTTGACATTTCCAAAAGAAATAGGTAAACTGATTCGGTATAGATGTATATCAATGAAGATGGCAAATTAAAATGGTTGTCAAATTTCATTGCCTTACATTTGTGCATTTCATTGATAATTAACAGTTACATTTGAACATCAGTAGTCCACATATGGTCAAGAAAACATGAAAAACAATGTGAATGAAAAAACAGACATAAAAAAAAATATGAAAAGAAATAAAAGGAAAGAAGATTAGACTGATCAGGGTTGGGCAATTTCTATTTCAGACATCAAAATATCTTATCGATTAATATTTGTCACATTTTTCTTACCTTTATGGTAAATTGCTTCCGCATTAATTGAAAATTGCAATAATTTGTAAGAGCCGTCTGAAATGTTTTATTATGTTATTCTAAACATTCATTTACTAACTTGTAGAAATTTATCAAGCAAGTAAGTACATTTTACAGCTACAAATACATATATACTGACGATTCCACTTCTTCATCACAAATTTCAGAACCTTGAATAAAAGTCTGTATTATGTACTGCTTGATAGATTAGTATTATGTCTTTTTAAAGCATCAGAATTACAGCATACGAATTTATAGTCCTACAATATGGGTTATAAAAAAATTACCAAACACACAAAAGCCTTTCTCAGATAAGAAGTAAAAAAAAACTACCGCAATAGCAACCACTTGGTGCAAACCTTTCAAAAGAAATGATGGATTAACATTAATATTCAAGATACTTTACACCATTTAAAACAAAAGTGCTTTGAGGGTGTATGAATGTCGCAAATATGTTAAATGTCATAGCAGACAATACTGAGTCCAAACAAAATCAAAAGAATTGATCTTTTTTGTACCTGTTTATGCATCATTGTACCATGATTTTTTAGTTGACAGTGACAACACTTCATCATTAGATGTGTGTGGAGATTTTGATATCTTTGATAATTGTTTCATGGTTTTGTTTGCAGGTCTCGTTTTTGGTCAAAACAAAAAAAAATAAGAGTAAGGTGTTTTCATTTTAATTTGATTTCTATAAACAGAGACATGGTGTATAATACGTATAGCAATCAGGCAAAGAAAGCTTAACAGTCTTTCATTTCAATTGTTCGCTTAGTTATTTTGAAGAATGAAAAACATTATAAATTTGAATGATAGTTTTGATAAACATTGACACATTTGAAAAATGCTTTTATAAAATTTTCTTTAGTTTCATTTATATTTACACAAATAGCGACGAAAATATATTTGTTACAGCAGTTATCATTTCCGTTTGAATTTTGTGTAAAAAAAAGGAAATCATTTAAATTTTTCATAGTTTTATGTCCGATAGGTACGTGTTAATGTTACTGACTATAATAAATTTCCTTCATGTTTTGTACACGAAATACGTATGAAATTTTCTATATGTCACAATATTTATTTCCCGTCGGAACTAACTTTAGCTACCAAAAAGTAAAATCACAAAAATACCGAACTCCAAGAAAAATTCAAAACGAAAGGTCCCTAATCAAATGGAAAAAATCAAAAACTCATTACATCAAACGAATGGATAACAACTGGCATATTCCTGACTTGGAACAGGCATTAGTAAGTATGTAAGATAAATTTCTTTTTTATAGAATTCTACATATTATATATATTTTTTTCTTTTCTTTTCAACAGGAAGTTCCGTTTCTGGTAAGTTATATTCAGATTTGTATTCAAATTTCCTTGCACTATTCAAGGCTTTTTCATTTTTCTACTTCAGATTGTTAAAGTGAGGCGACCACTTTTATTGAATAACATTTAATGATGTCTAAAATACAATATGCAATTTTAAGATGAGCCACCTATAACATGAGATATACAATTGGTAACAGCTTTACATAGTTTTAATTGCTACATTTTTTTCTGCTTAGCATTATAAATTTCTTATATTTGTGGTTAGGGTTAGTTTAATTTCCTATGTTTCTCGATATCTTTATCACCTCAAAACTTACAAAAGTGGTCGTCTATGTCTTGATTTCAATTTGCAAGTTTACCAGCAGACTCTGTTTACTTTTGATTTTCATTATGCTGAGGGTTCATTGGTGGCTTTGGACAGTTTTGTGCTTTTTGTCTTTGACACATTCACCCATTTTATTAACTGAAATACTTTTAGATGTTGCAGAAAATGAGAGAAGTCTGATGCATTACATGCTAAGTAAGTAGATTAAAATATGTAAATAAATGCAAATTATTACTTTTCTTTTTTGAGCAACAAATTGTAGCTTTGTTTTTAATTCATCAGTATCGAACCAACACATTGGGAAAGGCATGTGGGAAACCCTGCCTACTGAAGCAAACATGCTATCAAAAGTCCTAAATAGTAGAAAAAATTCCACCAAATGAAACCTACCAATTATGTTAGATAAATCTTGTTTATACACTTCTAAATAATGTATGTTATTCTTTCATTTTCTCCCTAACATAAACTGTTATACTTGAACTTTCTTAATTTCATGTGAATAAAAGTATATTTTACTTGTGTCCTGTATGTTGTATTCCTTCGTTACATGTTACATCAAATTTTTTATACATTTTAGGCCAATTTTTACTAGCAAGTTCAATTCCAGGTAAGTGTTATTCCGATTGTATTCAAAGCTCATGCACTTTTTCAATCTATGACTTCAGAGTGTAAAAACTGAGGCAACCACATTATTTGAATAACATTTAATGCGGTCTAAAATACATTATGCAATTTTGATATAAGCCACCTGTAACATATGGTATCTGATTGGAAACAAGGTTACACATTTTTTGATTGCTACTTTTTCTCTGCTTAGCTTTCTTATTTTCATATTTCAGGGTTTGAGTCAGTAGCTTCCGGCTCCGGACTACAGAAAAGAAAAAGTAGTAAGTTTATCCATATATCTATATAAACGTTAGAAATAAGAATTATGGGAGAATATTTCACCGTTTTAAGAGTGTTACTAAATTACTGAAAAGGTAGTTATTTTCAGTACAGAATACGTTACCTGATACAAATATATCTTCATGAAAATTACTGAAAAAGTTTCCTTGTGTTCGTTTTTTTTTTTTTTTTTTTTTTCGTTTAATGCATTACATCTGACATCTGCAATGTTGTATATTTCAGGTCAAGCTGAACAACAGCCATCTGGTAAGTCTTTTATTTAGATTGTTTTAAAGGCTCAAATTAAAGTGTGATGTTAACAAAACAGCAAACATCGATAGTTCTATTCTATCAAAATAAAATAAAAATCATTTGTAAAGATGTGTTAGAAGATAATTTGAATAAAGTTTACCTATTGTCTGACTTCCATGCATACCCATTTATGCATGAGAAAAAACATTTTAATCAGATAACATTTATGTCTAAACCTTGTGATTGATTGTTAACAGAGTGGATAATTGCACATGAATACAACGAAAAACCGATGCCTGAACTCGTGTACTTTTCACGTGCTTTTTAATTTTTTGACTTCAGAATGTAAAAATGCGACGAACAAATCATTTGATTACATTTAATTCTGAAAATATACACAATGCAATTTTCATATGAACCACCTATAACATATTTTATCAAATTGGTTATAACTTTGTATAATTTTGATAGCTACTTTTTCTCTGACATAGCATTCTATTTTTTAAATTATAGTGTCAGATCTCCTAACTGCAGCCTCCAAAGTACTGAAAAGAAAAAGTAGTAAGTTTATCCATATCTCGATATAAACAAGATTTGCATGGCTGTATGCTAACAGTAAAATTGGAATTTATGGGAGAATATTCAACCAATATATACATATTACTAAATAACTGAGAAAAATAATAATGTTTAAATAGAGACTATGTTAACTGATACACATATACTTTCTGAATGTACCATGTATCAATCTATATAAGTTCCTAGTGTTCGGAATCTTTCGTTTCATTTATTTTATCTGACATGCAAGTTCTTGTATATTTTAGGCCAAGGTGAACGACAGCCAACTGGTGAGTTATTTTTTTCTAATGGTCTTGAAAGCTCAAATTAAAGTGTACTTTTAAAGAAGTAGCAAACCTTGACATAACTATTCTATCAGAATTATTTGTAATGATGTTTATAAACATCAGTCGATCAATTTAAGTTTCATATGGAAGTATGTTTTTAATTTAAATGTAATTTGACATTGGTGTGTGCTAACAGTAAATATAAGATTGATTGCAGAATATTCAACAGCTATACGCGGAGGCGTGTTACCAAAATACTGATACAATATGACTTTTTGAATGAAGAGGCTACATACAGTGATACACATAAAGTTTCGGACTGTAATATGTATCAATGTAAATGATTTCCTTCTGTTCGGAATTTCTGGTTTGATCCATTATATCTGACATCCAAATAATTGTACATTTCAGGTAAAGTTGAAATACAGCCATCTGGTAAGTTTTCCCTGATAGTATTTAAAGCTGTATTTACATAATTACATAGTAATTAAAAAAAATAGCAAACATTGACAGTACTATTCCATCAAAATTATTGGTAATGATGTATATAAAGATCAATAGATCAATTCAAATATGGAATATTGATTTTTAATGCATTTTGACATTGTTGTGTGCTTACAGTAAAAATATGATTTACAGGAGAATATTCCACGCGTGTTACTAAACTACTGAAAAAACTGTCCTTGTGTTCGGATTTTTTCGTGTAATCCATTACATCTGACATCCGCATTGTTGTACATTTCAGGTAAAGTTGAACTACAGGCATTAGGTATTTTTTTTCAGATTGTATTTAAAGGTCAAATTAAAGTGTGTTGTTCACAAAACAGCAAACAATGACAGTTCCATTTTATCAAAATATAAAAAGTATGCTGTCTTAAATACAACAGTCGATTTTCATATGAGCCACTTATAACATATTGTATCGAATTTATTACAACTTTATATAATTTTGATTTCTACTTTTTCTCTGACATAGCATTCTATTTTTTATATTATAGTGTCAGATGTTCTAACTACAGCCTCCAAAGTACTGAAAAGAAAAAGCAGTAAGTTTATCCATATTTTGTTATAAACACATATGCAAGTGCAAAATATATTCCCTCGCTGGTAAATGTGAATGAGTATGGCAGTATTGAATATGAATGCAAATTTGCATGGCTGTATGCTAACAGTAAAATTAGAATTTATGGGCGTATATTCAACCGTTATTTGGGTGTTACTTAATTACTGAGAAAAGTAATTTTGTTAAAGTAGAGACTACGTTAACTGATACACATATACTTTCTTAATGTACCATGTATCAATCTCTATAATTTCCTTGTTTTCGGAATATTTGTTTCATTCATTTTATCTGACATGCAAGTTCTTGTATATTTTAGGCAAAGGTGAACGACAGCCATCTGGTGAGTTATTTTTTCCAATGGTCTTAAAAGCTCAAATTAAAGTGTGATTTTAAAGAGGTAGCGAACCTTGACAGTACTATTCTATCAGAATCATTTGTATTGATGTTTATAAACATCAGACGATCAATTTAAGTTTTAAATTGAAGTATTGAATTTTGATGTAATTTGACATTGTTGTTTGTTAACAGTAGAAATAAGATTGATGGGAGACTATTCAACAGCTATACGCTTATGCGTGTCACCAAAATACTGGAAGTATGACTTTTTATACGACCGCAAAAAAATTTTTGTGGTCGTATATTGGTATGACGTTGGCGTCGTCGTCGTGGTCCGGCGTCGTCGTCCGAAGACGCATTAGTTTTCGCACTCTAACTTTAGTTTAAGTGAATGGATCTCTATGAAATTTTACCATAAGGTTCAATACTACAAAAGGAAGGTTGGGATTGATTTTGGGGGTTATGGTACCAACAGTTAAGGAATTAGGGGCCAAAAAAGGGCCAAAAATAAGCATTTTCTAGTTTCCAGACAATAACTGTGGAACGGTGTATGGATCTCTCTGAAATTATACTACAAGTTTCCTTACCACAAAGGGATGGTTAGGATTTGCTTTGGGGGGTTATTGCTCAAACCGTTTAAGAATTAGGGGCAAAAAAGGGGGAAAAACAAGGTTGTCCTCATTAATGGACAAATACTTTAGTACAAAACATAATTTAAAGCAGTGTAAGGGAGATAAATCAAATACATCATTGAAATTATCTCCCTTACACTGCTTTTAAATTATGTATAAAGTAATGGTTAATGAACAATTAAGATAATTTAAAACAGTGTAAGGGAGGTAATCCAAATACAACGTTTTGGTTACTTCCCTTACACTGCTTTTAAATTATGTTTAAAGAAATGCATATTTATAAAGGAAGACCAGTATGGCGCATTAGATTTGTAAAATCTTTGACCACATTTATTTATTTGTTATGCCGAATCTAACCGTGTATTTAGATTTTTAATTTTGGGTCCAGTTTTCAAATTGGTCTACATTAAGGTCCAAAATTAAACTTTGTTTGATTTCAACAAAAATTGAATATATGGGGTTCTTTGATTTGCTGAATCTAAACATGTATTTAGATTTTAGATTTTTGGCCCAGTTTTCAAGTTGGTCTAAATTTGGGTCCAAAATTAAACTTTATTTGATTTCAACAAAAATTGAATATATGGGGTTCTTTGATATGCTGAATCTTACCATGTATTTAGATTTTTTATTTGTGGGCCCGCTATCAAATTGGTTCATATTGAGGTCAAAAGGGTCCAAAATTAAACTTTGTTTGATTTCATCAAAAATTTAATTATTGGGGTTCTTTGATATGCCAAATCTAACCGTGTATTTAGATTTTTAATTTTGGGTCCCGTTTTTTAAATTGGTCTACATTAAGGTCCAAAGGGTCCAAAATTAAACTTAGTTTGATTTTAGCAAAAATTGAATTCTTGGGGTACTTTGATATGCTGAATCTAAACATGTGTTTAGATTTTTGATTATGGGACCAGTTTTCAAGTTTGTCCAAGTTGGGGTCCAAAATTAAAATTTGTTTGATTTCAACAAAAATTGAATATATGGGGTTCTTTGATATGCTGAATCTAACCATGTATTTTGATTTTGGACATTGGACCATAATAGGTAAATTAAAAAAATTGAAGTTCTTAGACCACATTCTTTCTGTGTCAGAAACCTATGCTGTGTCAAATATTTAATCACAATCCAAATTCAGAGCTGTATCAAGCTTGAATGTTGTGTCCATACTTGCCCCAATTGTTCAGGGTTAGACCTCTGCGGTCGTATCAAGCTGCGCCCAGCGAAGCATTTTATTTAATGAAGAGGCTACGTGAACTGATACATATAAACTCTCAGTATGTAGGATGTATAAATGTGAATAATTTCCTTGTGTTTAGAATTGTTTGTTTGATCCATTATATCTGACATCCAAATTCTTGTATATTTCAGGTCAAGTTGAACTAGAGCCATCTGGTAAGTTTTTTCTGATTGGATTTAAAGCTGAAATTACACTGCTATTTAAAAAGAAGTAGCAAAGATTGACAGTACAATTCTATCAAAATTATTTGTTATGATGCTATAAAGATCAAACGATCAATTTAGATATGGAATATTGATTGTAAATGTATGTTTACACTGTTGTGTGCTAACAGTCGAAAACAGATTTACAGTATAATATTCCACGGTTACACGCGTGTTACTAAATTATTGAACAAGATTCCTTGTATCCGTTTTTTTTTCCATTTTATCCATTATATTTGACATCCGCATTGTTGTATATTTCAGGTCAAGTTATACAACAGCCATCTGGTAAGTTTTTTTTCAGATTGTATTAAAAGCTCAAATTAAAGTTCGATGTTAACAAAACAGCAAACATCGACGGATCTACTCTATCAAAATCCAGAAATCATTAGTAAAGATGTATTTTAACATAAGAAGATACATTTAATGAAGTTAATATTTTCTCTGACTTCTATTCTTACCTACTGATGGTCTGCCTGTAAAAAACATTTCAATTAGATAACATTTATGTTCATAATTTTTTATTGATTGTAAACAGAGTGGATAATGGCACATGAATACATCGATGAACCGATGCCTGAACTCGTGCGTTTTTCAAGTGCTTCCCAATTCTTTGACTTTAGAATGTAAAAATGAGGCGAACATATCATTTGAATAGCATTTCATGCTTTCTGAAATACAACATGCAATTTTCATATGAGCCACCTATAACTTATTATATCTAATTGGTTCAACTTTACATAGTTTTGAATGCTACTTGTTTTTCTGACAAAGCATTTTATTTCTTTATATTATAGTGTCAAATGTTCTAACTGCAGCCTCGAAAGAACTGAAGGGAAACAGTAGTAAGTTTATCTATACGACGTTATAAACAAATATGCAACTGCAAAATGCAGAATTGTATATGTACATGAATATGCCAGTATTGAATATGAAGCCAATTTGCATTGCTGTGTGCAAACAGTAAATTTAAGATTTATGGGAGAATATTCAACCGTTATAAGGGTGTTACTTAATTACTGAGAAACTTATATTGTTTAAGTAGAGACTATGTCAACGAATACATATATATTCCTGGATGTACTATGTATCAATATATATAATTTCCTGGTGTTCGGAGTCTTTCGTTTCATTCATTTCATCTGACATGCTGGTTCTTGTATATTTAAGGCCAAGGTGAGCGACAGCGTCATCTGGCGGGTTTTTTTCCCGATTGTGTTCAAAGGTTAAATCAAAATATGATTTAAAGAAGTAGCAAACCTTGACAGTACTACTCTATCAGAATCATTTGTAATGATATTTTTAAACATCAGATGATCAACTATATGTTGCGCATGGAAGTATTTAATATCATTTTAATTTGACACTGTTGTGTGCTAGCAGGAAAAATAAAAATTATTGGAGTATATTCAACAGCTATACGCGTACGTGTGTTACCAAAATACTAGAATGTATGACTTTTTTAATGAAGAGTCTGAGTACACTTTCGGGATGTTACTGTAAACCAACTGATTTTCGCAAACGATTTATTTTCGCGAATTTCGAGAGAAGTAAAAAAACGCGAATATAAATCGTCGTGAAAATTTAAAACTTGGATCTTTCCTTGTCTAATTACATTTAGTAAATTTGAAAATCGCGAAATTAAATCGCTGCGAATTCGGTTAGAAAGAGCTAAACGCGAAATAAAGTATCCGCGAATATAAGTTGGTTTACAGTATATGTATAAATGTCAATTATTTCCTTGTGTTTAGAGTTTTTGGTTTTGTTTTTAATATCATACATCACAATTCTTGTATATTTTAGTTAAAGTTGAACTAAACCCATCTGGTAAGTTTTTTTTTCTACATTGTATTTAAAGCTCTAATTAAAGTGTTGTTTAAATAATGTAGCAAATATCGACACTACTTCTCTACCATAATCATTTGAAATGATGTATATAAACATCAGACGATCAATTTAAGTTTCAAAATGAATATTGATTTTATATTAAATTTGATATTGTTTTGTTCTATCAGTAAACATAAGATTAAATGGAGAATATTCAACAGTTATACGCGTACACGTGTTACCAAATTTACTGGAAAAGTATGACTTCTTTAAAAGAGGCTATTGAAACTGATACACATAAACTTTCACGATGCAATATGTACAAATGTACATATTTTCCTTGTGACGATATTTGGCATTTCTTCTCTAATGTCTGACATCCAAATGGGATTTTTTCCTTAACTAACTATACAAGAAGATGTCACAAAGTATTTGTGTTGATGTAATCAATTAAATCCCTTCTAATGAAGTGTGTACATAAAGAGAATTACAACAGGGACAAAGGTGTAGTTTAACGGGCTTGAACTTTCTTACAGTAGTTCTGCGGTTTCAAATTAACTAGATATGTTTTTTCCATACTCAGGTTGTAAGATTTTGCACGTTTTGTTTTTTCAGCATCGGCTCATGCAAACAGTAAAGGTAAGGACTTTAAACAATATTCCTTGTAAACGCTTATCTTCCACGGTTCAACATTTCATAATAATATGTTACCTATCCATTCTTTATTCTTTTTTTTGCGAGAACAGAAGGATTTTTTCCACAGGGTCTTAAAATATTCTCACTGATTTGAATAAAATATTGTTTTACATATAATTTAAACTTTAATTTCCGGAGAATTCATCTATTGGTATCGGAAATTATTTAATGGTTTCACATTTCTGTAAATTGTAACACATGTACATTAAGCACAGCACTTCAAAATAATGTAAAAAAATTATTACGGTGAATATTACACCTTTTCATCTGCATCTTATTTCAGTTTGTTTCAATAAAGAACAGACTAAATTCGTGGGGTCTTTCGGTGTCATGTTGAATTGGACAGTAAACGAAACTGCCTTGAGAACAATGATGTCCAAAGGGGTTCAACAAGGAGTCTTCAAGGAGGAAGAATTCACCTTGTCCCAACTAAGGGACAAGGTGAAAAACCTGAAAAAGTCAGTATACTGTAATACTGTAAAATATTTTCAATGTAGTCTTCTTTATACTTGGTTCAAATGTTCAGTGTTCGACATCTGTGGTCGTTTACATTCTATTTCATTTAAGCATTTGAGTTTATTGCATTTCAGTTTGAAAATGGCATACACTGTTGTGTGACATAAACGAAAACATTTCTAGATTTTAGGATTATTTCTTAAATTATTCAATATAACACACATTTTATTCAATTTCTTTATCATCAATTTATATTTTTTTTCAGGAAGCCATTGAAGCCTTCCCTGTAAGATGGTTTACACACATTGACTTGTAAGCAATTAACGCCAGAAGAACGGCCATGATGTCCCAGGATATCCAGCTGGCCATACAGATTTTAACATTGTGACAGTCAATAGTTTTGTTAAATATATGATTTTCTACTATCACGAATTAAGAAAATCATGATGCCTGTCTGTTTGACAGTGTTACATTTTAACTTTGATTTCTTCCATTCTTTGTGTGCATAATTTATTGAACTTTGTGACAATGAGGGTCTACATATTTTCCAACTTATTTCATTTCACATTTCATGTATATAGTTCCAAAGAGGCATCTTACATGCATGTTGTTATTCATGATTAAATGTAGTCTATTGATCTCTTTTTCTTTATTAGCATGCTTTAATATGAGAATGATTATAAGATTACAATTTTTTTTATCTAATTAGAAATAAAGTAGATTGACTTTATTCTTAGTCTGTATTATATTATAGCACTTGATCCAAGATATATAACTTGATTTGACACACTTTGTATGTTAGACGCACAACAGGTCAGTCTTGATTTGTTTTCCTTGTTTTAGCGATCAAATATCCTTTCAGTTGAAAACAAAAATACAGAGAAAGCCTACCGACATATATTTCCTCCTCCCGTTTAAAATAAACTTGCGTAGCTATCGTTTCTCAAATATTTTAGTGGAGCACATTCAAATGACTAATTCCAAGATAAAGTAAAGCCTTCAAAATAACGATTTTAACGAAATTGAATTTGGGTAAGGGTTAAGGTATGGGTGTTAAATATATGATTTTCTACTATCACGAATTAAGAAAATCATGATGCCTGTCTGTTTGACAGTGTTACATTTTAACTTTGATTTCTTCCATTCTTTGTGTGCATAATTTATTGAACTTTGTGACAATGAGGGTCTACATATTTTCCAACTTATTTCATTTCACATTTCATGTATATAGTTCCAAAGAGGCATCTTACATGCATGTTGTTATTCATGATTAAATGTAGTCTATTGATCTCTTTTTCTTTATTAGCATGCTTTAATATGAGAATGATTATAAGATTACAATTTTTTTGATCTAATTAGAAATAAAGTAGATTGACTTTATTCTTAGTCTGTATTATATTATAGCACTTGATCCAAGATATATAACTTGATTTGACACACTTTGTATGTTAGACGCACAACAGGTCAGTCTTGATTTGTTTTCCTTGTTTTAGCGATCAAATATCCTTTCAGTTGAAAACAAAAATACAGAGAAAGCCTACCGACATATATTTCCTCCTCCCGTTTAAAATAAACTTGCGTAGCTATCGTTTCTCAAATATTTTAGTGGAGCACATTCAAATGACAAATTCCAAGATAAAGTAAAGCCTTCAAAATAACGATTTTAACGAAATTGAATTTGGGTAAGGGTTAAGGTATGGGTTTAAGTTAGGGTTAGGGTTAGGGTTTGGGTTAGGTTTATAGACAAATTTGGGGTATAGACATAGATGGAATGATATATTATGGTGTGATATGGCTGGTGTATATATAGGGGATAGGGTTAGGCAGAACTTCTTTTTTCCCAAAAAAATTGCTAAGTACAGTTTGCCTTTGACTTCAATGTTCAAACAGGTGTAGAATGGATTCGAATAGAGATAGTTCTTACAGTTAATTGTTCCGAAAAGCTAAAAAGGCGATCTAGAGGACGGGACCCTATTAAAATCACTGAAGTGTACAGCCGTACTTTCCGACCTCACTGAAGAAGCGTTTGTGTGAGAGTAAAGCCTAACCCCGACATTAACAACAACTCCGAAACTACAAAAGATAAAAACATGCGGTCCAAAAATACTGCCCCTTTGGGGTTGAATTTTTAATTTCAATCCGATCGGAGCACAGGATCATGTTGAGATTTGGAAAAGATTGACTTTGAAAAGAGTGAAGCCTAACCCTGACATTAACCCCAACTCCGAAACTACAAAAGATAAAAACTTGCGGTCCTCACTATAGGCTTGTTCGTCAAAAAGTACTATCCTTTCGGGGTCGATTTTATAATTTCAAGGCGATCGGAGCATAGGATCATACTGAGATTTTGAAAAGATTGACTTTGAAAAGTAACAAAAACCCTGACCTGACCCCCACCCCTTCCAAACTGAGATTTGTGAGAAGTTCTAGAAAATACTTAATACAAAAATCCATTCGATTACCCCTCTGGACGTACCCGTTCCAAGATAAAGTAAGGCCTTCAAAATAACGATTTTAACGAATTTTTGGTTTGGGTTAGGGTTTCGGTTTGGGTTAGGTTTAGGGTTAGGTTTAGTGTTTGGGTTAGGTCTGTATACAAATTTGAGGTATAGACATAAATGGAATGATATATTATGGTTGTGATATGGCTGATGTATGAATATATAGGGGTGAGTATTAGGGTTAGGGTTAGGCAGAACTTCTTGTTTTTCCCAAAACATTCCTAAGTACAGTATGCCTTTGACTTCAATGTTCAAACAGGTGTAGAATGGATTCGAATAGAGATAGTTTCTTACAGTTTACTGTTCCGAAAAGCTAAAAAAGCGATCTAGAGGACGGAAACTTATTGGTATCACTTATTGGTATCACCTAACGGGGTCGATTTTTTAATTTCAAGCCGATCGGAGCATAGGATCATACTGAGATTTTGAAAAGATGGACTTTGAAAAGTAACAAAAACCCTAACCTGACCCCCCACCTCTCCCAAACTGTGATTTGTGAGAAGTTCATGAAAAAAATTAATACGAAAATCCAATCGGTTACCCCCCTAGACTTACCCGTTCCAAAATAAAGTAAGGCCTTCAAAATAACGATTTTAACGAATTTGGGGTTTGGGTTAGGGTTAAGGTTTTTGTTTGGGTTAGGTTTAGGTTTAGGGTTAGTGTTTGGGTTATGTCTATAGACAAATTTGGGGTATAGAAATAGATGGAATAATATATTATGGTTGTGATTTGGCTGGTGTATATATAGAGGTTAGGATTAGGGAGAACTACTTTTTTCCCCAAAAAATTGCTAAGTACAGTGTGCCTTTGACTTCAATGTTCAAACAGATGTAGAATGGATTCGAATAGAGATAGTTTCTTACAATAAACTGTTCCAAAAAGCTAAAAAGGTGACCTAGAGGACGGGACCTCGTTGATATCACTGAAGTGTACAGCAGCACTTTCTGACCTCACTGCAGAAGCGTTTGTGTGAGAGTGAAGCCTATCCCCGACAATAACCCTACTCCGAAACTGCAAAAGATAAAGACATGCGGTCTTCACCATAGGCTTGCTCGTCCAAAAATACTGCTCCTTTGGTGTCGATTTTTTAATTTCAAGTGTATGTATTTATGTATGTATGTATGTATGTTTGTATATATATATGTATGTATGTATGTACGTATGTATGTATGTATGTATGTACGTATGTATTGGAAAATCTTGAAATTGCAGCTAATTTCACAAAGCTTGTTTTGAAATTAAAATAAATTTGGGAACTCTAGTTACTGAAATTTTATGATTCCCCCAAACATTGATTTCTTCCATTCTTTGTGTGCATAATTTATTGAACTTTGTGACAATAAGGGTCTACATATTTTCCAACTTATTTCATTTCACATTTTATGTATATAGTTCCAAAGAGGCATCTTACATGCATGTTGTTATTCATGATTAAATGTAGTCTATTGATATCTTTTTCTTTATTAGCATGCTTTAATATGAGAATGATTATAAGATTACAATTTGTTTGATCTAATTAGAAATAAAGTAGATTGACTTTATTCTTAGTTTGTATTATATCATAGCACTTGATCCAAGATATATAACTTGATTTGACACACTTTGTATGTTAGACGCACAACAGGTTAGTCTTGATTTGTTTTCCTTGTTTTAGCGATCAAATATCCTTTCAGTTGAAAACAAAAATACAGAGAAAGCCTACCGACATATATTTCCTTCTCCCGTTTAAAATAAACTTGCGTAGCTATCGTTTCTCAAATATTTTAGTGGAGCACATTCAAATGACAAATTCCAAGATAAAGTAGAGCCTTCAAAATAACGATTTTAACGAATTTTGAATTTGGGTTAGGGTTAAGGTATGGGTTTAAGTTAGGGTTAGGGTTAGGGTTAGAGTTTGGGTTAGGTTTATAGACAAATTTGGGGTATAGACATAGATGGAATGATATATTATGGTTGTGATATGGCTGGTGAATATATAGGGGATAGGGTTAGGCAGAACTTCTTTTTTCCCCAAAAAATTACTAAGTACAGTGTTCCTTTGACTTCAATGTTCAAACAGGTGTAGAATGGATTCGAATAGAGATAGTTTCTTACAGTTAACTGTTCCGAAAAGCTAAAAAGGCGATCTAGAGGACGGGATCTTATTAAAATCACTGAAGTGTACAGCCGCACTTTCCGACCTCACTGAAGAAGCGTTTGTGTGAGAGTGAAGCCTAACCCCGACATAAACTCCAACTCCGAAACTACAAAAGATAAAAACTTGCGGTCTGCACCATAGGCTTGCTTGTCAAAATGTACTGCCCATAACGTAGTCGATTTTTTTAATTTCAAGCCGATCGGAGCATAGAATCATACTGAGATTTTGAAAAGATCGACTTTGAAAAGTACCAAAAACCCTAACCTGAACCCCCACCCCTCCCAAACTGTGATTTGTGAGAGGTTCCTGAAAAAACTTAATATGAAAATCCAATCGGTTAACCCCTAGACCTACCCGTTTTAAGATAAAGTAAGGCCTTCAAAATAACGATTTTAGCGAATTTGGGGTTTGGGTTATGGTTACGGTTTTTGTTTGAGTTAGGGTTAGAGTTAGGGTAAGTGTTTGGGTAAGGTCTAGACAAATTTGGGGTATAGAAATAGATGGAATAATATATTATCGTTGTGATATGGCTGGTGTATATATAGAGGTAAGGGTTAGGCAGAACTTCTTATTTCCCCAAAAAATTGCTAAGTACAGCGTGCCTTTGACTTCAATGTTTAAACAGATGTAGATTGGATTCGAATAGAGATAGTTTCTTACAGTTAACTGTTCCGAAAAGCTAAAAAGGCGATCTAGAGGTCGGGACCTTATTAAAATCACTGAAGTTTACAGCCGCACTTTCCGACCTCACTGAAGAAGCGTTTGTGTGAGAGTGAAGCCTAACCCGGACATTAACTCCAACTCCGAATCTACAAAAGATAAAGACATGCGGTCCAAAAATACTGCCCCTTTGAGTCGATTTTTTAATTTCAAGCCGATCGGAGCATAGGATCATACTGAGATTTTGAAAAGATCGACTTTGAAAAGTACCAAAAACCCTAACCTGACCCCCCATCCCTCCCAAACTGTGTTTTGTGAGAAGTTCGTGAAAACACTTAATACGAAAATCCAACCAGTTACCCCCCCTAGACTTACCCGTTCAGAGATAAAGTAAGGCCTTCAAAATAACGATTTTAACGAATTTGGGGTTTAGGGTTAAGGTTTTTGTTTGGGTTAGGGTTAGGGTTAGGGTTAGTGTTTGGGTTAGGTCTATAGAGAAATTTGGGATATAGCCATAGATGGAATGATATATTTTGGTTGTGATATGGCTGGTGTATATATAGGGGTTAGGGTTAGGCAGAACTTCTTTTTTCCCCAAAAAATTGCTAAGTACAGTGTGCCTTTGACTTCAATGTTCAAACAGATGTAGAATGAATTTGAATAGAGATAGTTTCTTACAGTTAACTGTTCCGAAAAGCTAAAAAGGCGATCTAGAGGACGGGACCTTATTAAAATCACTGAAGTGTACAGCCGCACTTTCAGACCTCACTGAAGAAGCGTTTGTATGATATTGAAGCCTATCCCTGACAATAACCCCAACTCCGAAACTGCAAAAGATAAAGACATGCGGTCTTCACCATTGGCTTGCTCGTCCAAAAATACTGCTCCTTTGGTGTCGATTTTTTAATTTCAAGTGTATGTATTTATGTATGTATGTATGTATGTATGTATGTATGTATGTATGTATGTATGTATGTATGTATGTATGTATGTATGTATGTATGTATGTATGTAGGTATGTATGTATGTATTGGAAAATCATGAAATTGCAGCTAATTTCATAAAGCTTGTTTTGAAATTAAATTAAATTTGGGAACTCTAGTTACTGAAATTTTATGATTCCCGCCAAAAAAGCAATTTAGCCTAAAAGACTTTAATGATATATATCTAAAAAGCTTCAGATGACCAGATTCTAACTAGTAATTAAGAATTACAATCGAACAATTGATGACTTTGAAGAAAAAAACTTACTACATGTAACGAACCTTTATTAAATATTATTTTAGTAACAACCTTATGACAGTCAATCAGATGGAAGATCGAAAAAAAATTACACAATTTTTGCAAAAAAAAAAAGAAAAAAATATAAGTTTATTGCAAGAGCACAATCTCTGAGTTCTTGTTACAATTTGGAGTTTAAATGTGCAATTCAACTGCAATTGTGCATTGAAATAACTAAACAGCTGGTAAACTTTTAAAATATATTTCTTTTGACATATGTTCCGTCTATTTAGTACAATTTTGCAATTAAAAGGTCCGAAGATATTGCGTCATAACTAGATAAGTGTTAGTCTATAATGAAAATTGACTTGCATCATCAC